AAAGCCGGTGGGGGGCAGAAGGTGAAGGAGGAAAATGCGGAAAACATATTTGGCATAGTTTTCCCCTCTAACTCTCTTACTCTTTCGCTTTCTGTATGGGTGTCTCTTTCTCTCGTTGGGAAAGATTTATGTGCGGCCGGTCCAATAAAATAATTGCCAGTGATTTTTTATGCAAATCGCTTTTCGCTCCTCGACTGACTCATGGGCAAAACGAAAACAAAATAGTAGACTGGGTATGCATATGAAAACGCCCAAACCCAAAACTCAAACTCAAAAACTACAGAAACGAAAAAAACTATTTTACGATCTTCTGAACCCGAGTCGGGTTTTATGGTACAGCGTTTAGTTTTTATGGCGCTTGGGGTCCGGGGTTAATTTGCCGCCGGGACCGACTTATCTGCCATCCGTGGGCCGTGAAGAGGGTCAGAATGGCGTTTGACATTGATTTCAACACCCGCCCGGCGTCAAAATCGAAAGACTTAGGCAACGAACTTGTTCTGACGCGAGGTGAGTCTTTTTCCGAATCGCTCCCCTGAATGTGTCAAATCTATCGTTTCCTGTCCTGTTAATGGAAACTTTCACTGGCCGCAGCCAGCACTCGTTTCATTAAGCAAATTTCAGGAAATATACTTTTATATTGTATCTCTTTTTATCTTTATTTTGCACTCAATTGAAGTTGGCCCTGGGGGCCGAGTGGCTATTCGCGATTGCTTTTCGAAATATAATACGAGTCCGGCGATTATTTAACGACTTTACAAAGTACTATCCTAGCATTCATTTCTACCGATGCTTTCTTTCTCTTTTTTGTATCTAGCAATTACTTTTGGCCACTTCTTATCCCGCCAATACATCTGGCTTGGCCGAGAGCCGCTATTGTTGCTGGCCAGCGTGTTGGTCTTATCACAACTCATTGTTTTTTGTTGGCCATGGGTGTGTAGGGGGATTTACTGTTCAAAAAACAAAAAAGTAAATGATGAACCGATATTTGGCACGTGCCGCTAATGAAATCGCCCCATCTCTGGGCCAGCAAAGAAATTTTGAAATATTGGTTGTAAATACCAAACGGGCCATTCATAAGTTCCGGAATTACAGCACCAATTAGATCGATATCGTGGCCTTTTGTGTGTGTGGGCAGCCCGAGAATCCATAGTGATCGAAACTTTTTATAACCCAATTCTTGTCGAACCATTTAGGCATTTAATTTATTATCTCCCGCAGTTCAAATGCTTTTGTTATTGATATTATTTGGACCCATTTCTTACGATTTTTATGGAGCGCTCTCCTGTTACTGTGTGTGTGCCCGAGCGACATTTATGAGCCACTTTATGCGCAGCTGTCAGAGCCACGAAGATCGGACGCAAAATGGCCAATTTTATGGCTCAATATCAACGGGCCCACCGGACCGCAGACTGTCTGGCTAAGAAAATGCTTGGATTAATAATAGTAAAAATAACAAATAAACAGTTGGCAATTTGACATCTTTTTTATACATACATATATAGTTATTTTTGGCATATTGATGGTCGTTAATAGATAGAGGCAAATTGAAAAGAAATGTCAAATGAATGAATGGCTCAGGGGACGGGGCTTCGTGCCCGGCTATTAAACCTAAGAAAACCTTAGGCTCTTTAAAATGCAAAGCGGCTGCCGAAGTTGGAATATAAAAGTAACAGCGACAACAACAGCCAAGATAATGGAACATAAAATTTATTAATTTTTATAGTCATTATTTGGATGTCGTTTCTTATATGTGTTGAATGCTTTTGTATTTATTTCCCTGTTTGCTCGGTTCGATTATGCTACCATTTCTCGCAGCAAGTGCCAAATTTGGTCTGGGGTTCTTGACCACGAAAACACACACGCACGTGTGACAAGTTTCGGCCTGGCCGAGTGTTCGAGTATTTGTGCGACGCACTGTGCTTTATTTTGCATATTTTGTTCGATTTTAAATGAAGTCACGTTGCACTCGTAAACTTGATATTTATGTTTGTCATTATTTTTTATGCTTTTTGCTTGTTTTTCATATAAATATTACCATTTTGTTGGTTGTGTCTTGTGTTGTTTGGGGGCCCCGATACATGTGTAGGAACAACAATGTCTTGTTTTCCGCTCTCTCGGTGTCTTGGTGTCGGTGTTTCGGTGCCGCTTGGTGGCGTTAAACAATAGTTAACAACTTTATTTGTGTGCTTATATGCAGTTAACGCTTTTGCCCATTAAGAGCCAACTCCTCACGTTTCGGCTGCCATTCACCTGAGAAATGCCAAAGCAGCATGCCACAAGTGGCCCGCTGCACTTCCAGCCAACTAATGAAGCTGCACTGTTGCACTGCTACACTGTTGTGCGGCTGTGCTTGCAGTGCTGCACTTGCTGGGCTGCTGCATCTGCTGCAGAAGCCGCCACCAGTCATCTCCAGGGTCTGTCAGTCCACATAAAAGTCAGAGATGGCTATGAAAAATCACCAAAACGAATCGCTAAACAGCCGCAAATGCACTCGAATTCGAGTCGCGAAATATGGGAAAATGCACTCAAATTATCCGAGTATTACCGGTGAAAACGATACCTTTGTTTGCCTTTTGAGATTGCCGACAGGTGGTTGAAGGAGGTACAAATAATTCATCGAAAATATCATAACATTGAAATATGAATTCCCCTCTAAGACTTTCAATTCATTGAAGGTATTCTTACTGCCAACCAATTGGCCTTTTTTATAACTGGTGTTTCCTCCTAAAATAATTAAATATTCAGTGCATATGAAGCACTAAGCCGACTGCAGTTTCCCATTAGTATCTCACCATAGTAAACCCAATTTATCAACACCCCAAATGGGTCAAATCAATAAACAATAACATAAAATGTCCCGAGAATCTACCATCACATAAGCAAACAAGTACATAAGTCACAGACAAAAAACGGGACAGCAAGACCATTTGAACTCCCTTCTCCAGCACTTTCTGATATCAAGCAGCGCAATTTATGCAAATTTTTATACGTACATAATGCCCATTTATCGGACTCTGCTGCCGATTATTGACAACGGCATTTTAATGCTCAAAAAAATCATAAATAAATAAAAATAACTTGGCGTGCCACTCAGCCTGGACAACCGAAAAAAAAAACACAAGTAAAAAGAAATTGAAATTATAAGTACCTGAACATAATTTCACTCCATCCACCAGAAGTGTCCAAAAGAACTACAGGTTCATAATTGAAATTCATGTTTGTGGTTCTTGTCGCTGTCAGAGAGTTACCGTTGTTGGATGGAGCTGGTGGTTGCGTGATGGTGGTGGTGGGGCTGCTGCCTCAAAGTCCAATCGCACCACCGGTGGGGGGACCCACTTAAAGATTCCGCGAGTTTCCGTGGCGACACTCTACGCATTCTTATGAGGTCATTTGCGTGGGGAGCGCACTAAATGCGCCCTAGCTCCCACCTATCGTTTAGAGAACTTTTGCCAACTGGAAAACTCTTCAGTTCGTGGAAATCCACACTCCGCACGGCGACTGACGGTGGTAAAATGGCAGCCGGCAATCTCGGTCGCAGACATTACTCATACGACCCGCAATGGAACACAAAAATCTATTAAAATTATCACACGCCATGTTGACCTCAGCGGCGAACAAACATTACTCAAAAAATCCGAAATAGTACCGTTTGTGTGAGTGTTTTGGGTCTAGAAAAAATCCAAAAAATATATATAACCAACCGCAGCCAATAAAATGAAAAATGCTGGCGCAAAAATATTGCAGCTAAAATAATTTGCCACGCTCGTAAATTTTCAGCTCATAAAACAGCAACAGAAACAGAAACGAGGCAACATTTGTTGCCGGAGTTGTTGGGGGAGTGAGTCAGTCGGTCGAGTGTCGAGCATTTCTCGAATTGAGTCAGATTTTCGTAGGTTTCTGTTTCTTTTTTTCTGGCTGTGGCTTGGCTCTTTTTTATGGTTAGCCTTCGCTGATCGACAGTTTGTTTGATATATGGGCCCTTGGCCCCATCATTTGCATGTGAAAAGCCGGGTGAGTTCACATTTCGGGGCTTTGGATATGTGGGGATATGTGTATAAAAAATTTCACTAATTTGCCAAATGATTATTATGTTTGCCTAAACAACGTTAAGTGCTGCCATAAATTAGCCAACAGACAGACTTGTTTGTACCGTGTTTCTAATTAAAGACAAAAGCCCATCAAATCTACCTAAACTTGAGAAACAAAAGAAAAAGATTTCAAGCTGACTGATGCTAAAAAACTTTATTCTTTGGCCAAACAAATTGTGTTAAAAACGGAAAGGAAATAAAGTATAAAGTGGCCGGCAGAAATGGTATTTTGAATGAGCCGTTTCTAGGCTTCAAATCCGCAAACAAAATCAACAAACCCAATATAAGCGACGGCTCACACACATTTCCATTTGTTCTCATTTGCGCAGCGCATGCGAATGCCCGACTCCACACATCGAAAACGAATGACTTAGACAACGAACTTGCATTCCCCTAAAAGCGCATGAGCATTAAGATCTCCAGGCAATAAAAATAAAAATCAAAATCGAAATAAAAATAAGAATACGAATAAAATGCGGACGACAAATCTACAGACAACAAATTTCGGAGCCGGGCAAAACGAAATTGAAGCGAAGAATGCAATAAAAATAAAGCCGGAGAAAAGAAATGAACGTACCCACCATAAAGATAAGAGCTGGCCAGTGGGGCCGAGATTGCTCAAGTGGCAGCCGAAAGTGTTGCAGGGCGATAAAAGTTTAATCAACATTTATGGGAGGGAAGCGGTGCAGAGGGCGGTGGAACAAGCAGAAGACTTTAGTATGGAGCAGGCTTAACTAACACTGCTTTATACACAAAAAGAAAAATCGTTTGTTCAAAAAAAAGATCATGTTAAGAGTTTTACAATAATTTAAAAAAATAATTAATAATAATATATGTTATGTATGATTAAAATTTATATTTTTTCTCAGTGATTCTTATTTGATTTCTCTGTTCTTCCCCCCGTCTCCACAGTCCCCGGAACTAGACTATCGGCACGAGCTGATGGGACGTCTGCATAAAATCGAGCCCGCCGATGTTGAACTCGAGGTTCTGGCAGCCGCCGCTGTAGCCTCCAACAACAACAATAGCAGCAGCAACAACAACCACAACAGCAACAGCAGCAGCAACAGCAACAGCAGCCAAACCCCCACCAGCAACAGCAACAGCCTGCAGCATCAGTTCCACCATCACCTGCACCACCACCACAACCACTCGCACCAGCACCACCATCAGCACCACCACCTGCACCAGCACGCGCATCCGCACCACAGCCTGCAGAGCGGCGACAGCGGCGGCGGTGCTTCGGAGGCATGGTCGCACCACTCGCTCGCAGCCACCGCATACCCCACCGATCAGTCGCAGCAACAGCAACCGCAGCAAATTCAGTCCGCCGGCTCCCCGAACTCGAACTCGAACTCCGCCTATGGATGTGCCCCGCTCTACGATGGGGCGCCCTACGAGGTGGCTCTGGGCTACGGCGGCGGTGCGACGGTGGCAGGTGGCGGCGCGACGGGTGCCACCAGCGACAAGGAGTATCTATATGGTGAGTGGCCCAAAGGGGAAGGGGTGGTGCCTTCAGCTGGGCACACAAAATTACATGCATGGTGAAATCTCGCAAGTCAATAGCAAAGCGATGGCATCGTGTTTGAGCGGTTTGTTGCCGAAATGTGAAATCTGAAACCACCCAAAAATAAAATACAAATCTGACAAGCGTTAGGCACAACACTGAAAGGTGATCGAGGCCTAGACGAACTGGCAATGATCTTTCAAAGCTCTGAAAAACATTTCAAGCCAAACTTATATTAAGATTTTCATCAGTTTATAAAATGTCAAAGAAAGAAAAACTCTTGCCAGAAATATATAAATTCTTTAGTTTCGAAAACATTAATCCCTTTTAACCTTTTTCGAATAAAAAATAGTATCCATTCTCCATAGATAGTGAAGAGCTCTAAAAATAGTCAAACAAATCAGCAGCTGTTTAGAAATTTCATGCATATGCGAGATTTCATTGTGTACCTTTATAATTCCCCATGCCCATACCAATTCGTACAAGGCATGGATTTGCATAATGTATTAGCAGGCGATTATAAGGCGATTTCGTCTATTTTCTTTCTATTTTATTCGATTGCACAGAAACCAAAAACAAAGAGGCTCTCTATGCCGATCCGCTGGACGATCCCTATCAGCGACCTGTGCTCTGGGACGATATTACTACCTCAATCCAAAATATCGACCCGGAGAATGCGCTCATGCTGAGCAGTAGCAGCTCCAGTAGCAACAACAACAACAACAATACCACCAACAGCAACAATAACAGCAGTAGCAACAACAACGGCGACAACGCGACATCGCAACTGCCACAGGTCAAGATGGAGGCAATCGATGAGAGCCTGCTCGAGACTTTCTCAACGCCGCTGCTCAGTCCTTTGGAGATAAAGACGGAAAAGCAGCAGCGACAGCAGCAGCAACAGCATCAGTATCAGCACCAACACCAGCAGCAACAGCAACAGCAGCAGCAATACCAGCAGCAGCAACAGCAACAGCACTATCAGCAACATTATCAACAGCAGCACTTGTACCAGCATCATCCGAGTCTGGCGCTCTCGGGCTTGCCACCCGCTGTCGAGGTGGTGGAGTTGCAACTCCACCAGCAACAGCAGCAACATCTGCAGCATAGCGGCAGCAGCAGCCCCAAGCTGGCGACCCCCGGCGACAGCGGGAGCACCGGCAACAGCAGCAACACCTCCTCCTATCAGCAACAATACGCATCTCAATTGGTCGGCGGGTCGGGCGGCGGCAACTATCTGAACGGTAGCAGCAGCAACTCCTACGGCTACAGCTGGCACAGCAGTCAGGTGAGTGACGAGATCTGCCCTGCCCCTGAGAGTTTACTTCCCTGCACTGAACAAAAATCTAGAATTTTATTTAAAGCTTTTTACCTTAAAGTTCTCATGAGTTCCCCTTTCATCTTCTCAGACCTTCCACACCAAATACCAAATACACCCGCCATCAGCCGCCGCAACAGCCACTGCCACGCCCACAGCTCAACTCGGTGCTCAACAACAACAGCAGCAGCAACTGCAGCAGCTTTGTCCCCCGGCGGCACCCAGCACCCCCTCTGCCAGCTCCTCCTCCATCTCATCCTCGTCGGGCTCCTCCGCCAGCCGACACATGTTCGTGCCGCCCCTGACGCCTCCTAGCTCGGATCCCGGAAGTCCTGGAAGCTCCATGGTGGCAGCTGCCGCTGCAGCAGCCGCCCAACGTCGCACCACCCCACCGCCACCCTACCAGCAAGGTCATCCACTAGGCGGCTTGTGCCCCAGTCTGGTGAACACGCCGCCCACCCTGCAACTACTGGGCGGGGCAGTGGGTAACCCCAATGGCTCCACAACCGTGCTCACCCCCCTCACGCCAGCTAGTGCCATTGCTGCAGCTCAACAAACGCAGCAGCAGCAGCAACAGCAACAACAGCCATCTCAGCAGCAACCGCAGCAGCCACCACCACCGCCCCCGCGGTCAGCGGGAGCCGGGAGGCGTGGCCGGCACTCGCACCACCAGCCCGGAACGGCGGCGCACATCGCCAGTCTGATGAGCGTACGCACGGTGCGGTACAACCGCCGGAACAACCCGGAGTTGGAGAAACGTCGCATCCACCACTGCGATTTTGTGGGTGAGTGGAGCTAACATTTATTTAATAAACTTTATTATCCATATAAAAAACATCAAATATCGCTAAAAATTAATGGGAGCTTATTAAACTGCAATTTTCCAATTTGTGATTTTATGTCTTAGTTTTTATACGATTATTATAAACACCATCAATGGATACATAAAAGTGGTTTTTAAATATTACTTATACGTCATGTAGGCCATCTCAACAATGGTTTTAAAAATAATGCAGTTTATTAAGCTTCTTTTTACTGAAAGACTTTTGAGAAATATAGAAATATAGATAGTCATCTATTCAGTGTGAAAGACTACTTTATAAAAATCTGAGAGATCTTGACTTCCTTTATCTGTAGTTGCCATTCGCTGCATGTCTCCCACTCGTTCATCATTTCGCGCGCTTTGCGACACTTTTCGTAACAAAGTCAGTCTGAGGCACATCCCCTGCCCCTTGGCATACGCGCCCGTCACTTGCCACCACCCCCTGGGCCACTGTTAGCTGGCAGCTCCACTCCACGTGCGATCCTCATTGCGCATGCGTGGCGCGTTTTTCCAATCGGCATTTATTTATTCTCTATTTATCTATACATTTATTTATTATCTTTCTGGCTTCGTTTTTCTATTCCGTTTTCTTGCCTGGTGTCACTGTCGCTGTTGTGGCGCTTTTTCAATTGCCTTCTTTGTAATTCTAATTAGGCAATTGCCATATTTATGTAAGACTGTAGTCCTCCACCGCCTCCCAGTTGGCCGCCCACTTGCCCTCGTCGGAAATGTGGGTTGCCTTTTGTTACAGTTGCAAGTTTTTGTTCATTTCAATGTCAGTGGTGGGGGAGACAATGGTATTTTTAGTTTTTTATAAAGAAATATATTTGTGCCAGGCACTTTCAAACAAATACCCAGCTGTGAAAGAACCTTTTGAAGGCCTTGCAGCACTTTTAAGCATTCGGCTTCGATTAACCAATTCTCAGGCAAGATCTAATGAAATAAGCAAGCTCCCTTTTGGCCAGCGACATTATCTGGTAGCTTAATCTCCGCAAGATCATCATGAGAACAGCTAAAGATGAGATCACAACACCCATCCATTAGCTATCGTTGGATCACCGATGCGAACTATTAGAGGCCGCAAAAGCACTTAAGTCGGAGACCCACTCCATTGGCAACTTGGCCCAGTCCGAAGAAACCGATTGCCAGACGGATTCCCAACTCCGTCTCCAATCGCTGGCTACGTGCGTTGCCACTAATAAATAATTGACAATTGTCTGACACGTTTGCCATGGCCATTTTTAGACAACTTTGGACTCCAATCGGCCAAATGCCGATTGCCTGGGCCAGCAGAAATGCTGTCCAAATGAAGTTATTATGCCATAAGCGCACGCATCAGACATAAGACATCGGACCGATACTTGGCAGTGAGTTATGTCTGGAGGAGTTCCTCCGATTTGGTCTGGGTCTTGGCTTTTGGGTTTCAGTTTCGGAATCGTACTCGGATTCGGCATCGGTATCTCGGCAGCCAATCACGCGTCTAACTGTCGACTATCGTGGCTGTTTCAGTTGCATTTTACAAGTTGCAAGTTGCAACCTGCGAGTTGCAGGTTCCCGCGCAGCAACATTCTCGACTGGCATTGTGGGCCATTGTGTTGCGCGGCACGTTGCAGTTTCGGCTTTCAATTAGAGGTCTACGTGCGGGATGTACGGCATCCTGGGACCATAAGTGCCTCATAAATGTCACTTGCTGTTTGCGGAGCAAGTGAATCTCGTGCAACTTTCACCTGCCACCCAATTAAGGGACCACGCCCACTGACCCACTCTTCGGGCTGCCTCTATTTAATACTCTAAATTGGTGTGCTGAAAATCTGATATGGGAAAGAGATGAATTTGATACACTATAGAAATTTAAGTTATATTTTAGTTGTATATTTATTGTTTTTCGTTTTCCTAACCTTTTTTTATCCGCTTTCTTGCAGGCTGCTCCAAAGTTTACACCAAGAGCTCGCATCTGAAGGCCCATCAAAGGATCCACACCGGTGAGTTTTCCATTTTTTAAATTAAGCCAACATCCTACTAACTGACCACCTACGAACCACCCACTTGGCGACCTCGTGCCTGACCCCCTGTCACAGTTTTGTCCGGTCCGATCCTTCAGTCGTCTGCATGTGGGCCGAGCCGCTGAGCCCACTGCACCACTGATCCACCGATGAGCCACTGCCGCGGCACCACAGCTGCACTCGGGATCGTTGGGCAACCGTCGCCTTTTGATTAATTCGCGCACTCATATTTGTAGTTGCCAGCACATAATTTGCCAAGGCCCAGAGAGCTTTGAGCGCCTTTTTTGCGAGTGCCTTGGACGGCCACTGTAAAAAAATTTGATAACCAGTTTTTAGGAACACACATAAAACAGTACCTTAAATATCTTAGCGATGGGTTATTCGATGCATTATTTTGAAAAGTAAGAGGCGGCTTCTCACCCAACATTTTCTTCAGTGCATTGTTAATTTTCAATTTTTACTCCGCGGAGGTAACCGCATCGAAAATCGTGATTTCTACGGTTGGTTTTTGCGGCTCTGACTCGAGATCTGTGGCTCTGTTTTTTTGTGGTCAGTTGCGAGTTGCAAGCTGGCTGTTGCAACATCCAACATCCCAGGCAATCGCCAATCGCCAACGCCATCAGCTGGGCGCACGTTTGGCCTGCATTTCCTCCTGCTCGGATTACACTTGACGTTCCGTTGCTCATTTTGCTCCTGCTTCTGCTTTCTGATTTCTGCTGCCCGCTGATCACCTGTCTTGGTTTTATGGGCCGCACGTTTAATGCTCAAAAAAAATCACGGAACAGTGGAAAATAATAATAAAAAAAAACCAAAATGAGCATCGGTTGGCAGGAATCCCATCTCTCTACTGTGTTTTATTAATCGCACATGACCACCTGATTTATGCGCAACTTAAAACGCTGCCTTAAAATCATTTTTATTATTATGATTTTCAGTTTTTTCTTTAAGCTCAGCGCTGATTTTCACTTTACTGATAAAGTTAACGCCCCATCAACAAGTGCGCGGCGAAAGGTCGAAGTGGGTATAAAAACCGAACCCCATCTTCTCCGCGGAGTTACCCATTTAGATTCCCTTGAGAATATGCCAGTTCTCTTGAGAATATCTCCTTCGATTTGGGCCAAAAAATTAGGTCCAGAGGAAAACTTGAGCTTGGGGCAAGCACGAAGTCATGTATCGGTGTTTAGTTAAAACTTTAAGCATGTGGAAAAAGCTAGGGTAGAGGAAGTTGAAATTCGAATACCCTTTGTAGGAGAACTTAAATTTAAATTTATTAAATAATACGAAATATTTTAGCAATTCCTTAATCATAATATGTATAATTTATATAATCCCTTTTTGGACACGATGATTATACCCTTCTCCAAGAGTATAAAAAGCTCTCCGCATTGGGATTTCGCAATTCCTCGTCGAGTGGCAGGCTACCGTCTGATGGCTGTCGGTTTGTTTGGCTTTCGAGTTAGTTAGCGTTTCGGCCTGGCCCAGCCCAGCTCATTCATAGATTTCCCCCCGGCTAGTCACAAAACATACACACAGCATTTTTCATGCCATTTTTGAGGCGCCACCAGACTGTTGTCTCTGCTGATTAGCAACGCCAGGCTGAGAAGCTGAGAGATGTTTGTGGAGAAAAATGGGGGAATCGAGAGATTTCCACCGCAAATATTTGCCAGAGTCATCGAGTTCGTTGGTTAAGTCTTATGCTTGGGATGAAAAGATTTTTCATCAGCAAAAGAAAGTTAGGTACCTTCTAAAAAAAATAGAACAGATTTTAAATTTTCCATCAGCTTGATTAAACTTCAACATAATTTCCTTTTTAATACAACTTTCCAAAGTCTATACTCTAGACTCAACTTCGTCTCATCATCAAAACTCTTTGGAAAATACCAAAGCTCGTAAATTTGTCATTTTTATTTGGGCTTTTTATTTTTATCTGGCTGCGTCGATTAGAAAATCACTTGGTAACTAATCTTTATGCAGTCGGCGAACGAATAAATTTCCCATATCTCGAGGGGCCAGTCTACGGACTGCGGTCCGGGTTCCCGGTTCCCTGTCCCTAGGATTCGGGCTGAAACGAGCTTATTTTGTACTGATTTGTTTGCTAATATGTTCGCGCTGCCATAAATTAGTTTGATTTTGTGCCCAGCGACTGGAGGAGGCCTGGTCGGAGCTTAGCCTGCGGCTGTGGTCCAGAGTCCAGTGCCGAGAGTTTCAGGCCATACGCGATTCGAGCCTGAATTTATTTACGACTATATGCATAAGGCCTCCTGGCCTTATCGCGGACTGTAAGTAAAATTATGAAGTAATTCTGTTCGGCTTATCGCATTGCGTTCATCGCACATTACAAAACAACATTTACATACATAACTTTGCGTTTGTTTGTTTGACCGATCTTTGTTTGTGCTGCCGCGATCATTGCCAAATTAAATTCCCACGACCGATTTCAGCCGGGGAGGTCTCTCCAGGTCTACGATTCTACGGCGTCTATGAGTCATCCGTTTGGCAATTTCGACAACAACCAAAAATGCCCATAAAAAATAACCCACCACGTGTCCGTCTAAGCCCGCGATTATGCTCGCTGGCCTCTCGAAAGCATCTCGAGGCACTTAAGTTCATTAAAAGAGATCTAAATAAACCAATAAGTCACGCCACGAGTCGAGGGGCATTGGGTTTCTATCCGAAAATCCCCGCAAAGTGTCAGCTGAGTGCCACTCGAGATCTCTTTGGCTCCGATCGAGGACCCCGAAAAATATCCGATGAAGCCAAACAAAATTTGTGCGTTTGTTCGAAATAATAAACAAGTCTCACTTGCTTTGATGTTGGCTGAATCTCAAAATTGAGTTGGGATGAGAGCCACGAAAATTTGATAAATTTGGGGAAAGTTTGTGAGAGAAGAAATTGTTTAAAAAGATTTCGGGGCCTGCAAGGCACTTTATCTTACACGTTCGTTAAATATGTTTTGCGATTCTTTAACCTTTCGAATCGTTGTCTTTCAGCACCCAGTCTCAATTCTGTCTACCCCGGCCAATCTAATTCGATTAAGTCCATTCGATTCGCTCCACAATCCACAGCCGAAATCAAACAAAAATGTCAAGTTCAATCACAAATCTCCAACCGCAATAATTATTTCATTCAATTTCAATTTAAATCTGAACACGAATGTTTATGTTTATGTCGCATACGAATTGTTATGCCAATGAACTGGAGGGGTCTCCCTTCTCCGCCAATAGGGTCTTGAATTAGTCATAGAGCAGTGGAAATAACAAAGAGTTTTGGCCACCGGCCGGTGGAATTTTTTAGGTTTATGTACAGCGAATGTTTTTTTTTTATGGTTCACAAAGGAACATTCAAATTTCAAAGTACACAATTGAAAAATGTTTGTTAAACTTCTTGCATAACAATTTTGAACAGGCTGGACATGGTTTCCTTACAATATTTAAGATATCCATACATCTACTATTGTAACTCTTAACAAATAAACATCTAAATAGAAGACAAAATCTTTAACTTTAAACCATTCTCTTCAAATTTCAGGCGAAAAACCCTACACCTGCCAGTGGCCGGAATGCGAGTGGCGCTTTGCAAGATCGGACGAGCTGACCCGGCACTACAGGAAGCACACCGGAGCCAAACCCTTCAAGTGCATCGTGTGCGAAAGGAGCTTCGCGCGGAGCGACCACCTGGCGCTACACATGAAACGCCATTTGCCCAAGAACAAATGAGGCAGAGCCACTAATAGCCACAAAATTAACTATACCACAATCCAAAGGACTTTAGCATAGATAAAATGAATTCGTTTAGTTGAAAGGTTAACTACTACATTGTACACAAACTATTTTAGAGAAAGCTAACCAATGTAATCGGAACGGTATAGATCCCACACATAGATGTATGGAGTATATACCAGCTCCAACTCAATTAACTCAAATGCAAAGTACGTTTAAGTAAATGAAATTACCACCTGCTTAAAGAAAATCCTATCTACCAACTAACCCGCACGATAACGAAGATATATCTTAGCCGTTCAGCAGCACAAGTACCCACAAATCGGAATAGTTCTTACAGTAGGCTAAGATGCGTGTATAAAATCAAAAACAATTCTTTAGATTTACGTAGATGTTTACTTCGATATCTTCAATTAGGTGGGTGATTGCCACATAAGCTTAGCAAACCCCCTGTATGTATTTTGTATTTGTATGTCAACAATCGTATTCATAAACTTAACAGTTAAGCATACATATATATCTTAGTGTCGTATACTGTTTCAAAACCACCAAAAAGTGCTGGCACAACATCCAATAAACATTCTTGAATATCATGAAACAAATTATTTTTAGTATAGCTAAGTATAGCGTTGGGGAGCGGGCGGTGTTGGCGGTAGCGTCATGTCGACGGTGTGCCTACCCAAGTTCGTATCCTCAACCGGCTGATTGGGTTTGGCATATCGATCGGTCCAGGCCCGAGCGTTACGGTCGTGCTGGCTGCGGTGATGTTTGTAGAGATGAGCAATGGTAGATTCCAGGGGATCGTTTGGGTTCGGATCGGACAGCAGTGAAACAAGGGAAATAAGGACCTTGCCAACCGTCAGTGCTGGCGACCACTGCAGACTGAGAATATCCAGACAGATGTAACCAGAGGAGGTTATATTGCAGTGGTAGATTTTCGTTAGAAAGTACACTTGTGGTGGATGAAAAGGGTAGTCCAATGGAAAACTTAGGTCGAGCATGAAGTGGCCACCTTCGTACGGGGTATCTGGGGGCCCCAAAATGGTGGCTCGCCAATGAAAGATATCGTCATCTACCATCTCAACTTTGCAGCCATCTGGAGGTTCTCGCATGAAATCCGAAAGTTCGCGATTCAGTCTTCCAGTCGCAGCCGGACTATCACCCCGTCTGGATGGGCCAGAGCCTATGGGGTTGTGCGGCGGCTGAACGAAGCTCATCTGATTAACCATGCGGTTGAACTGGCGGGCCAAGGTCCCCAAGAGACCTTCTTCCGCCACATTGCCGGTTGGCGCGTTAGGAACCGAGTCTGTATTGCTGCGGCCACGACTCGGGCGACCTCGTGGGCGCCTTGCGCGTCTTGGTGCCTGCTGGAGACTACCTCGTTGATTGGAAGAAATTCTTCTGGTGATAGCACCGCGTCTCCTGCGCGAATTGGCCGGTGGCTGTTGAGCCGCAGGACTTCGCAGTCGTCGAGCACGGGATGGTCTTAACAGGGCTCTTAAAGTGCCATTGGGGTTTTCAAGGGCGTTCACACTATCTTCAGTTACATCTTGTTCCTGCAAATCGGCTTGAAGTCCTGCAAGAGCCAGTGAAGCTGCTTCTCGTTGCTGCTGTAGGCGCTGGCTTCGACGGGGAATCATGTTTCTGTGTTGGGATAATGTTGAAATATTTTTAGACGGATCTATAGATCCTCTCTCACTGGAAAAATTGTATTTTTTCTTACGTGGGGTATTAATAAATATGAAGCAGCCCAAAATTTGATACACGTTGACAGCAAACTAAAATTTTTTCCTTTTCCACAACTAGCAGTGATGCCACACTTTCAAGATTAACATTTTCCAACACTAAAAGAAGTGTTGGTACTCAGGAAAGCTTTTTATTGGTTATGTCTTTAAAAAAGGGACTAAGAGCATAGCAGTCACTCCTGAGGACCTATCGATACTAAAGGAATCGTATTTTTTGAAAATAAGTTAAAAATTATCATAATTCTTAGAGTCGATTCTTCAATTTGTATATATATGTATTTATCTAAAGCTGAAAGCGTGACTGTACTTTCCATAATTCACATTCCATTAGCATTTCAGTGTTGGATTTGTCAAGTCTCTATGATTGTCAAGTATTTATTGCAATTGGCTGGACTTTAAACAATTATTAACATTTCCCCCATACGTGCCTGGCAAGGCAAACACTAAAACATTGAAAGTTTCACCCTCAAGTATTCCCTCTATTTGATATCTATTCGAAACTCTCGACACGTCACAAAAGCCATCATATAAGTTTTCCATTTAACAAAAAAAGACAATTATTTCATTTAGATGAGAAGAATTTCAGTTCGATAACTGTGACCCCATACCACACACTTTATGGAATGCCTTCGCACTCAATTGGGTTTTGTTGTTACTGTGCTAGCGATCATTATCAAAATATTTTGTACACGAAACAAACATGTCAAGCAAATGTCTTTGCCCCCTTCCGATGCCCTGCTTCAGCCCGTAAAAAAATTGTTAAAAATAACAATAATAATTTCAATTGTCTGGCTGCATTTTGATTCGAGCGCGTCATGTTGTTTTGATTAGAGCGATAAAAACGACTCTCTTCGGCTTCGCTTTTTCCTGAGGGGTTCGCTTTGCAATGTAAATCATTTCAGTGGTATTTCTTCACAAAGGTTTTTAATTTATAGGGTAAAAAGTTCGGAAACTGAACCAAGGTATAGATAACAGAGAACCTGTTTAATTTGTCATCTAACTAATGGAACTTTTCAAGCAATTAATAAGGGGATTATAGGATTTTCATAATTTATGAAAGCTTTGATTTTATAAGGCATTAATAATCTGGTTCGGAACGATTCTTGTTAAGGTTGTGGCTTGTCCGGATTAATCTTAAATATTTAAAGTTCATACTTTTAAAATTCTCCTTTTACATAGCCTATTTTTTATTAAAGTTTCTTTGTTTAATGTTCAAAGAGTGTATTTCAGTGTATAGTATGAAGCGTGTAAGTGCTCGATTAAACCCTTACGTGGGCGTTAAGACATTGGCATGCCCCCATTCATTCATCCCAGGCCACTGGCACATCTCCAGCTCCGACCACATCCATCCATCCAGCCAACCATCCATCGGATACGGTGGTGCCATTCCAGCTCTGATCTTCAATTGTGGTGCGTTGTCAGCCAGGGGCAGCATGGAATGGGGGCTAATATGTTAGCCCAAAGGTACCTAGGTACCCGGAGTACCCCCTTTCATAACCACTTCGCACACCCATGATCAGCAGCGGTGCTGATTAATCATTTGGCGACTGACAGCTCAACTTTGCGGCCACAACGGGGCAACCCGCTTATTAAATTGGCTTAAGATTGCTAGATAAACTCAATGCAAACGCACACGGGTCGCTGGGGATAAGAGTACGTGTAGGAATGGGACCCCACAAATTGATATTGTGCATACTTAAGTCGCACAAAGGAGGTTTTTTCCAACAGCACCCACTTGGTTATGGAATATCGGATATTATTGTACATTGTTCGCTGGCAGCAATTGAGAGGGATACAACGCTTCACAAAATTGATTCGATTTCAGTCAGATCGCAGATGTGATAAATCTTATGATTTCAATTAATTTGTGCGCTTTTGTCGGATCTCATTTATTCAGAATTCAAAATTCAGAGGGAAAGGAGCCGCCGGGGAGGGCTGACTGCACTGATTATGCCAACTTGGTTAATGTGTCAGTGAGGTTTATAATGGTATACAAAGAATATGTTTTAATTTGCAGCTAATTAAGCTGAAGTCTGATTGATGCCGGGGGAATAGCGAATAACAAATGAATGGAAAACATTGAGGTGTTCATCGTTTGGAAAGGTTATCCAATAATTAAGAACTCCACTTCCTTGTGGGCTAATGCATCTATTTTTAAAGTACTTGTGAGTCAAACACAGCTACTTTGTAGCACACGACTATCGCTAACAATCCATTAAATATACAAGATGTCCCCTTTTTTATGGTTGTTAGTATTTCCTACTTCCTCTACCACTAACATCAATTTGGCTGAGCGTTGGCAACACCTTTTACTTTCGATGGGACACAAGTCCAGCTGCCGCACCACCCACACGACTCCAGGCGAGCCCACGCTCCTACTCCGACTCCCGAGCAGGCTCATCCATTTTAAGTCAGGCCATAACATAAAAGCGCCCATTAGCCAAATGGGGGAGGAGACCCCCCTGACCCACCCGCGGCACTAGCAGGGGTGCAGAACTGGAGGAGGAGAGGGCACTAGAGAGGGGTAGCGGACGCCATCACTCGCCCGCGTCTGGTAATCGTGACAGGCAAAAGGCATTGGGCAAAAGGTGGGGCAGGGGCTGCCAGATTCAGGACACTGGAAATTTTATTTAATTTTAAGACTTATTATTTCAAGGTATGAGAGCAAAGCGGAAAAACCTTTTCCCTCTGTGCACTGTCGAAACCACCGAAACCGAAATTGAAAACCGAAAAAACGGAAAACCAAGAAACAGGAACTGCAGGCAACTAGCCCGACTGTCTGAGATGTTGGCCAGGTCTGCAGTCTACGGTCTATGCACACTTTTTGGCCAGACGTGCGCCTGGCTGCTTCGCATTCACAGTTCGCATTTCGCATTTGCATACAACAATATGCGACAAGACAAGACGCCTGGCAGTTGGGCACAAGACAAGCTGGCTAAAAACGGCGACAACTATAATTAAGCTTAATTGCTGTTTAGTGCGAGCCGGAGCAGCTTTTCGCTGTTGTTTTATATGCCCAAAACGACAAAACGACAGACGCCCACGCACTGCCTCACGTATAATTAAATTAAATTTATAATGCGAATCTCAACACGATAAATAATCCTAACCAGGTGTTTGTCGGGATCGGGGGGAGGGTCTATTTTGGCTGCGGCCGATCTTGGTAATTGAAAACTTAAATCGCACTTATCGCTCACTCACTCACTTCACTTAACTACACCCGCTTATTGTTTTCGTGTGTCGGGGAAATTAATTAGCAATTAAAAATGCAGCTCAGCGATCGCTGGATAAACACTGCACACAAACAATGCCGGGTCGCCTTTTTAATCTGCTGGAAAATAATTCATATTTATAAATAGAGAAACATTATTCAAAGTGTCCGCAGCGAGCCTGTGGCCCGGGAACCGTAAATTAAATCAAAATCAAAATGAAAACGATATGGTCTCTTATGCCCAGAATTTATAACGAAAATAAAGCCGAGAATACAATGAAATCGAAAACACTATAAAAGTGTGAATCGAGATTGATATTATTAGAACTTTGGTTGCTCTAATAAAAATTGTTATCCATAAAAGCCTTTTTTTTGTGGATCATGAAATAGAAAAACATCAGTTTTTTCCATTAATGTTCGCTTAGTTTTCTTATCTACGATTTTCGAAGTCGTGTATAATTAATTTATTTTTTTGACATTTCTCATTTACGAACTTGGCTCTTTTATCTACCCCTAAATACCCATTCATAACCAATTCCATTCACCCCTAAAGAAGGGTACTCAAAACCATTCGACCAGTATCCGCCCACAAAACACAAACTGTGGACGGGTCGCCGTTGTTGTTAGCAACTGCAACTGCAACAGCAGCAAGAGACACAGTAACAACAGCAACATCAGCGGCTGTTGGGCACTTGGAGGTTGGGAACTTGGACGCTTGTCCATTTGTCGGACTGTCCGTGTGTCCGCCTGTCCGTCCCTGGGCTTTTTGGTCGGCGTGTGACTCAATGCATCGCTGCTAGCTAGCCAGCTGCCGCTGATCGACCGACCAAACGATCGATCGGCTAACGGCGGCTGCTGCTGCATTTGGCAATGAACTTTTCGCAGCCAAAGACAGAGTCTAGACTCTAGGAGAAACCGGAGGCTGCAAACGTTGAAAATGCGCTGGCAATTTGACTTTGAACTCGGTCAAGTCGAGACACATTTGCGAAACTGTTTGCATATTTAATTGAACACCTACAACAACAATAAATGGGCTGCAGCTGTTTCGCAAGAAAAGCGATTTTGCAATAATAAGCATAAGCATAATAATAATCAGGCGCAAACAGGCTCAACAGGGCCAAAACCAAATGCCACCGGGCGAATAAACTTAATCCACTGAAAGCGTAAAGTCGTGCCTAACGAAAAAACTAACGACCATATTTACCATATTTAGCGCCACGAGGTGCCAGTCCTCGCCGATATATGTATAATTTCAGAGGAAACCTTGGACATAGGACAGTGTTGAAGAATATGTCAAAATGTCAAAAAATAAGAAAGTTCTGTCTAACACTATTTTAAGGCCAATATCAGGTTCGACAAATAAGCAAAAGTTGTAAACAAATCCAAAAATAAAATAATAAATTTAATAAAAATCCTATTTCAACCAGTAGGTAACCATGCGCATTGGCAGAAGGCGTAGTGAGCGTATCCGTCATAGGAATATGGCCATGGCTATTGACCGTTTGCTGGAGTACACTCCCCCCGAGAATCAGACTAATTTTGTGAGGAACCTCATGAACCCGGCCGACCGAAATGTAGGAAACACCGAGCTTCATGGGATGATCAGGGCGCTGATACAATTGGCCCTTTACTTCCAACCAACGCTAGTGCGTTTGTTTCTGGCCAACGAAAGTGGGACTGTTCGCCTGATCCTTCGACAGGGAGCCCTTTTCATGAAAACCTACATCTTTTGAATCCAACAAGACTGAAAGGCTGCACTGCTATAATCCTTAAATGTACAACATTAAATCTACTTACTACTTAAATTACAGATACCACTTTTACTTACCAACAAAATTTCAAAAAGGGACCCAATGAAAAGGCACTTCCTGCA